GGCTGACATTTCTTAGTTGTTCCTTCTTTTTCCTTCTCCTGACGAGTTCCAGCCTTTGCTTTCATTTTTTATACGTTTTGAGAGGAAACAAGAGTAACTGTATGTGTTCTTCCAATGTTTTATAGGATGGTCCTTCCCTTGCTTTTTATGCCTCTAATTTGTTTGTCCAGAGTGAGCCTGTACTTGATGAAACTTCCAGCTTCAACTGGATTACAGCATTACTTGCTCTGTTATTTCTATTATGTGAAATTTCTCTTTATTTTTATGAGGGAGAACATGTTTCTGACTCAAAGAATACAGTTTATATCACATGGAAGTGGATCTGAGTTACATAGAAATATCTGTGAAGTGACTACTGCCATGTCTTTTAACAGGAAATATTTATTGATATGTTCTGTACAGCAGATGTCCCCTGTTTGGTAACAGGCTAGCTACGCCATCTGCCTCTTTAATTTCAAGAGTAGTTATCAGAAAAGATTTGATGTGTAACATGTCATTGAAATGCAGGGAGCTGCCAAGGCACTGAGGGAGGAACGCTGTGTTCCAGTAAAATATGGCGCTTCCATTGTACAGCCTCGGCCCTTCCCTGTACATAGTTAGCTCTTTGCTCTGCATCCTAATTCAGCACACGAAGCAAGCTGTCTTAAACGTGTCTTCTTTTCCTTCTGGTGTTTCTAACCAATTCTTCTTTCTGTGTGTTTGGTAGGGAGCCATAATGTCTGTGGACCTTGTAGTTTTAGTTAGTTAGGCTTTGTCCCTTTTTCTGCAGTCATTTTATTTACTGTTAAATCCTCACAGTTTGAAAGTGGTAGATATTAAAGGAGGAAATACCAGGACCCACTTAACTAGAGAACCTAAAAGCAATTTGTCGTAAATTAGCAAGTCTGTGAGTTCCTTTGAATCACAAGATAATGCTGGAGATTAAATTATTCTAAAGGAAAATGCACGTTGTCAAATGCCCTGCGCTAAATGGTAACCTTGCTTTAATACATTTCCTTGGCGTTCAGCATAGTTGCACAGGACTTACCTTGGGAAGAGCTAACAGATACCAGTTCGGGGTAGACTGCTGTAAGGTAGCGGTACGCCTGCAGCTTACTTCCCTCCAGTGGCAGTCACAGCTGGCCCTTAAAGCATCTTTCCTAACCGCAGGGGCTGAAGGAAGAGAGGGAGAAGTGGAGTATTTATTCTCACAGTGCTGCTGTGTACTCACTACATTTGTGAGGGATTCGTGGGGCTTGCTCTGCCAGCCACAGAAAGTTTTCCTATTGCTACATCTTACTTATGATGGAAGCACTTGGACTCATCCTTCCTGCTTCATTGTGGCAACTTAAGTTGATATTTTGCTGTTTTGTATTTTTGCCATTCAAACACATTCTTGGAACTAGTGGATGATAATTTGCTAGATGTATGCTTTCTCTTGTCAGCCCCAGGTTTAAGTGAGTTACAGCTGTCAGCAGGTGATCCATTAGGGGTTTTTTGAGGCCTTACTTAACATAGGTATAGACTAGGTACTGAATACACATAGACCTCACCTTGGATTAAAGTATTTGGAATACTCTGTCAGCTCTCCAAGAGAGTTTACTAGAAGATCCAGTTAAGGGTTTTAGCAGCAAAACATCATCAGAGTCTCTCTAGGCCACGTTAAGAGTAGGGAAATGTTATGATTATGAGCGTGGCCTTGGGTCCAGGGTGCTTGAGTTCCCATTCCCACTGCGTCACCTAGTAGCTGATGACCTTGAACAAGCCAGTTACCTGTTCTAACTTCAGTTTCTTCATATGTAAGCTGGGGATGATTGTACCTTAAAAAGTTAAGTATGTCAGTGCTTAAAATATGGGAGGTGTTTACTACTGTTATCACATGGCCACTGTTTGCTTCCACTTCCCAGTAATTGGAGTATCTCATTTACTTTTCAGTGATATCGTGGTCCAGATAGTAGATGCTCGAAATCCGCTCCTGTTTAGATGTGAGGATTTGGTAAGTAAGATGTGACAAGACTCAAACCTAACGTCCTGGGGGCAGCAGCGGGAGGACAGAGTCCCTCATGGCAGTGACTCTAGCAGGCACGCTGGACCTCCTCTGGCTTTGCTTAATCAGGCCTCCTGCCTCTCCCAAGGGCAGGAGCTTTTCTCTTCTCAAACAATGGTTTCCACCTGCAGGAAGGCACAGACACATGAACTTTCCTGGCTTTTAGTTTAGAAGCCACTCCATTAATAGACATTTACCAGTGTTTCTCGTATTTTAAGAGACACTGGTCGAAATAGCATTTTGCTTACTTTAGCATATTCCTGGTCCCTTCATTTCTTATCCATTCCACAAAATTTTTTCTTCTCACCCCTTAGTTATTATTTTCTGCAGTATTTTACAAATGAATTAAGTTTATGAAGCACCCCAGGGGTAGTGATTATGAGGTGTGAGGATCCCATGAAATAATGTAATACAGGCTTTCAATTAATAAGACACTACACACATGAAGCATTCCTATTTCTGTTTGAGGACCATGGTAGAAATAATACTGATTATTTTTAAATCCACTGGTGAATAACAAAAATCTTAATGGGGAAACTCTTATTAATTGAGTTTTCATACTTCTGGTGGGTTTCCTAACGGAGAGCTATACTTGAGAATTAATTTAATTACTGAGTCTCGTTTTTCTTTTAGACTTCAAAAATCTCTTTTACATTAAAGATTAGATTATTATCGGCTATCATCACTTGGCTGAAAAATAGTCCCTGCTGGCCGATAACTCTGTTAGTCATGCAATTCCTTAACTTTGTTTAAAAGAAACAATTCGACATCATGGAAGAGAGGAGCTACATAATTTAAAGAAGTTTTAAGAACCTGTTAAATTTCAACAGGGCAGGAGAGCGTTTGCTTTTACCCTTCCCAGTTTTTCATGTGAAGAATACTTCTAAGCATATGTGACCTAACTTCTTTTCAAAGCTTGCTGACGGGATCCGTAGAATGTACCATGATTACAAATCTTTAGGAATGATTTAGAGCTGGGGGCAGTAAAACTTTTAGTTGTAGCTGGGGGTCTTCAGTATATTTAGCCTAATTTTTACCTGTTTGGAGAGGCCTTTCCAAATATCTTTGTCTTGCCCAGGAATGTTACGTGAAAACAATGGACGAGGACAAGGAGAATGTGATTCTGATAAATAAGGCAGACTTGCTGACTGCCGAGCAGCGGGGTGCCTGGGCCACGTTCTTTGAAAAGGAGAACGTCAAGGTCATTTTCTGGTCGGCTTTGGCTGAAGCCATTCACCTGATAGGTGACACCAAGGTAACCTGGGAGACTTTTTCAGGCTGGGTTTTAAGAAGGAGGATTTCAGTTTCTGATAAGTGTGCTTTTGTTTGTTTGTTTTTACTTATTGTTGACTTGTGGTGTTTTGTTTGTTTTTTCCCAAGTGCTGTGATGGGAGAAGGACCTATAGAACTCCCTGTGGTTGTCAAATAGTTAGCCACCCCCAGGGCTCTGTTACACACCAGTATTAGCTCTAATTTCTAATTTCTTTTAAATTTTAGATGAAAAGTTTTATAGCAGATTTCATAATGACCTTATAATTGCTTTTAAGAGAAATCAGAACAGAAAGTCAGATACAACTGAATGCAGTAACTTCTCTGGACTTGATTAGAATCTCTTTTGACTTTGTTTTGAAAACAAAGAAATGAAGTAATCCTTAATTAAGATATATATACCATGTTATTTTCTGTGTCTTTTAACCCAGATTTTACAGAAACATTTTGGGGGTTATTTTCTAGTAGAAATCATTGATAACCAACTGTGAAAAGAAATTCGGAATAGAATCTTAGAATGGGAAGAGACATACAGTACTGTCTTGTCCTGTCCACTTTTTTTTCCTTTTCTGTTTATCAACCATTTGCTGACTAGTTAGTGTGCTGAGCTAGGTGCTGTGAATACAACAGCCTCCCTTTGGTGAGCTCACAGGTTAGTGAGCTCTAATTCTGTAATGGAATTCTTTTCTCTGCCTCCCTGGCAAACAGTCCCATAATCTCTCTGTGACTGCTTTAAATGGCAGAGACCAGGTGTCTCATTCCTTCTGTCTCCGAGATCAGAGAGTCCTTCGGGGGAGGATGTAGCTCAGTGGTACAGTGCATGCTTAGCACGCGTGAGGTCCTGGGTTCCATTGCCAGTACCTCCATTAGAATAAATAAATGAACCTAATGACCTCCCCTTGCAAAAATATTTTTTTTAAAAAATTAGAAAAAGAAAAAAAAGAAAGTTCTTCAGTCTGGTGAAGCTAAGTCAGCTTCCCTAACTTTGCTCTAAGGCGTCTTCCTTTGTCCCCATGTTCTCTGTTCTGCAGGAGGTACATTTTCTGCTTTCCTGTTGCTCATAGACATGATCTCCCGAGCACTCATTGTCCTGAGGGCCTGTCTGCGCGTCTCAGGATAACACCTAAAAAGGGTGGCAGCTGATGGGGTGCATTATTCCAGGTGTGGTTTGCCCAGGGCATGTACAGAGGGACTCTTATTTCTTGTCATCAAGATACTCCCAGCATTTTTGTTAATTCACCCCCTTTCAAAGGAGCTTATGCTTTTGGCTCATTGAACCCATGAACAACTACCTCCCTCCAGTATTTAAAAGAAAAGACTTACTAAGCAGATCTCATCCCATCTTTACATGTGGACAAAGTTTTTCATTTTGTCTTTAGCTCCGCTTAGGACAGTACTGTTCCTCTTAAATATTAGTGATTTGGGAACAAGGTAGGGTTCATTTTGGGTGTATTATCTGCTTTTCTCTTCTTCTAGCTTTGAATCATCTGCAGATTTCCTGTTTCCTTGTCCATATATTCTTTCCAGTCATTGAAAACGTTGAGTAGATTAGGATCGAGGATAGAGCTTTGTGATCTTTTGTGGATTTACTAAGGGCTCAGTACCAAGCATTTCAGTGTGACGAATCCAGATACATTTGAAAGGATATATAACAGTAACTATTCTGAAAGGATATAACAGTAACTATTCTGTTACTACTGTTGTTAATAAAGCTAACCCACAGAAAACTTGTTCTCTGCAGGCACCGCTATTCTGAGCACTTGCTTTGTTTTCTCCATTTAGTTTTCTCAGCAGCAGGTATAAGGGCTTGTATCCTCAGCCAGTCTGGCTTCATCATTTGTCCTTTTCACCATTGTTTCACGTCTCTCCTGGAAGTCAGTGTCTTGCTGAAGTTTTTGAATATTTATCACTCTGTCGCTCAGCCCTGAGGCACCAGCTTGGTAGCGCAGTCAATCAGAAATGGAACAAGGATTCGTTTCCACATCTGTGGTATTCCCTGAACTGTCAACCAAGCAGTAGATTCCAGCGGGAAATGGGACTTGTTTGCATGATGTGTTCTCAGGGAACCCTTGTTGCCTCATGTTGCTGACTGTCTTCTTTTTCAGGCTCACCAGCTAACTTGTGGAATTGTTTCTCTGTCAGATTCTGGGTTAACTGTGTGGTTTACGGAAGATATTCTTTCTTCCTTTTTCAAAGTTGAACCCCATTTATTCCTCCCAAGTCTTCTGAAATCTCTGTTACACATGATTTCCTAAATCATACCAGCTACCATTGTGATGTCACACCTGTCATCTCATCTGTCACTTGAGTATCAAACATGAACTTGTTAAAAGACGTTTGACAGTCACTGTTTCTCACCTATCTGAAGTTTGGCTCTTCTCTACAATTGTGTGACATTTCTTATTTTAAAAAATAGGACACTTTTTTGAGTTGAGTACCTTAGTTTTCTCTTGGCCATCTGTTGAATTGCACCGTGTTTCCCAAAGATTGACTTTTCTGTTCTTTCTATTTTTGACAAAACTACTACAAGTCCTTTTGTTGCCTTTGGCTTTTGTCCTGAAGCTAAACTGTGTCCAGCCTTCGTTCTCCTAATACACATCCCCTTTCAGTTCACATTCCTGGGTTCTGCCTCTTCCGTATTTTTAAATGATTCAGAAGAGCACACAGTGACTTCTTTACATTTGTTGCTCATTTATCATAGAAATTGCTTCCAATTCCATGTTTGTTTTCGAGTTGCCAAGCATGATAATGAAATTCTCTCTCTCTTCCCTGACATTTTAAAAAAAATATCTCTTTCCTAAAATGTAGGATTCCTATTCAGCTGAGTTCCTCCTGTCCTTTTCTGTGGTGGCTACTCACTCTAACATTAGATTATTTGGAAATGATCCAAGGTTTTATCACTTATAAATCCAAACCAGTTAACCCTTGTTGATACGAATTGGTGATACTGTAAATTGCCTAATTTCTACTTTGTTATCAGTACGAATTCAGAAGGATTGACACACCATGATTTTTACCTTTCTCTTCCTGAAGGAAATGGTTGGTGAACAGATTCCACACACGGAGCTGAGTTTTGTTGCTCTCACTTTTCACACACAGGGACCTGTGCTCCACGGTGCTGTGATTTATTAAAGGCAATTGTAAAAGAATAGCAGTTTCCTTAACTATGCAAACCACTGTCTTTAAAACTGCAAATATAAAATGAAGCTCAAATTACAAATTATACCCTTCTTGCTTTGTGCAGAGAAGAAAATGTTAAATGTTCTACTGTTAATGAGAACTGTTGTGTTTTCTTGTACAGCCTATTGCAAAATAACGTACTGCCAAGGAATTCAGCTTGGCACAGGCTTTTTGAAACCCTTGCTTTCTTTTAATGGATAGAAGAGTTATCTGTTAGAAAATACATGTTATTTGTGCAAAGTTCAAATAATACAAAAATGTTTATAATGAAGGTCCACCACTCCAGAGGGCATCACTGTTGAAAGTTTGGTTGTGTCCTTGGGCTTATGTGATCTCCTCCTTCTGTTCACCTTTTTCGTTCTCCTTCATAGCTTTTCTTGTCCTCTGTTCGTCTCAGATAACCAGCTCTGAGTGTTTCCACCAGAGTGAAGAGTGCAGTTGTAAATATACTCCTGGACTTTTGTGATTTCTGTTATTTCATCAGGACGAAGTAAACGGAGACACTGGAGAAGCCATCACAGCTGAGTCTGAAAACTCCAGTTGCGATGAGGCTGAAATTCCACATGATGAGACTGAACATCTCCAAGGCAGGGCTTCTGTCTCACTCAGTGAAGTTGCCAGCAGTGATGAAGAGGACAGTGTGTATGAGGACTGTCGTGAGGAGGAGGAAGATTGGCAGACGTGTTCGGAAGAGGGCAGCAACCCCGATGAGGAGGCCTGTGGCCAGAACTGGAATGAAAGTTGGACTGTGGATTCTGAGGCTCAAGGAAGGAAAACCCTGCAGAAGAGGCAAATACACAATTTTAGCCACCTGGTGTCAAAGCAGGAATTATTGGAGATCTTTAAGCAGCTACACTCTGGACAGAAGGTGAAGGAGGGACAACTTACTGTTGGACTGGTAAGATGAAATATGTCATAGAATTGTTACATGGGAGTCTTTATCCCCCATCCCTTGGTAGCCACACTGGAACCTCTGAGACCAGTCAGGCTCTGGCATCACAGGGAACATGGAGGGCCTCTTGTTACGCACGGGCAGAGCCCAGCTCAAAGAGTGACCTTTCTCAAGGCTCATATTGGTCACACCCTTGTTTATATTTATAATCTTCTGCAGTCTCCTTCCGGTTCAGCCCTACCTATCACGTGACTTACCAGAGCTACTAGAATGAGAGGGCTTTTAAGGCTGTCCTCAGACTTCGGGTCCGATGTTCTTACCTTTAGATAAGCTTTTTAGATGAGGTCGGCTTTTGGCATCCTGTGATCCTTGCCAACTTACATTATAAACATTCCTTTGACTCTCTTCTAGGTGGGCTACCCGAATGTTGGTAAGAGTTCAACAATCAACACCATCATGGGCAACAAGAAAGTATCTGTGTCTGCCACACCTGGTCACACCAAGCACTTCCAGGTACTTCTGCAGCACCGGCCTCGTATTTCCTTCTCAGTCAGGTTCCCGCTCTGGGTATTTCCTGAAGTTCTTTGCCTCTTGTGTGCTGCTCTTCTTTCCCTTCCTGTGCCATATGCCCAGCATGCACCTCTTCCTGTCTTTCAGACTCTCTATGTGGAACCTGGCCTCTGCTTCTGTGACTGCCCAGGCCTGGTGATGCCGTCCTTCGTCTCTACCAAAGCCGAGATGATCTGCAGTGGAATCCTCCCGATTGACCAGATGAGAGACCACGTCCCACCTATATCACTAATATCCTCGGTGCTGTGCTGATTTATTCTTACTTGTATATTGGGGCTTGAGAAAACCTGAGTAATTAGGCAGGGGAAGAAAAAAATGATCACTCCTTGCATAGTTGTGAGGATTAGAAACAAAGACTGTGCTTCCTCTGTGAACTAGGATCATGTCAGAAATCTGTGGTGTGTGCATAGAGATAGGTGTGTCCTCTTTAAGGTCTATTTCAGAGATATTTTAAAAAGATTCATTTGGAAGTGATTATTGGTGCATAAGGCTTTATTTAAAAGGGGGCGAGGAGCCTTTTTACATTAAATGAGTAATTTTACTTCTCTGGAGAGGTGGAAAGGTTTTGTCACAGAAGTGCTGAAAGACCGTGTTTTAAAAAGCATGTGTCAGATGCCATGGGGAGGAGGGGGTCAGTTCAGAGGAATGGGTTCCTTGACCAGCTTACGTTTGCCAGAATATTCCAAGACATGTTTTAGAAGCTACCTACGGCATTGACATCATAAAGCCGAGAGAGGATGAAGATCCCCATCGACCTCCCACGTCAGAAGAACTGTTGACAGCTTATGGATGTGAGTTGTGATTTATTTTAAAACATGAACAAAAAATAACAGTATACTTACTGAGAGAAATACTCTGCAGAGATACAAATTCAAAACTTTTCCTTAGCAATTGTCATGTCATCTTCCAGGGCTGATATTTTTGTTGTCCTGTTGGTCTTGCCCACAAAGTGGCCTCCAGGTAGCTGACGTGATGGTGCTTTCAGGGTCCAACAGTAAAGGCAGCCAACTGCTACCCGAGTGATGTTTTACTTCAGTGTTAAGTGCTTTTGAGAGTTAGAGCAGGCGATTCTCTCTGTCCCCTGCCTCTTCCCCAGGTCTGCCCATTCCTAACCTTCATCCCAGGAATCAGTGCTGGGAGAGACACATCTTCCCAGGCTCTCCCGGTCTCAGGCCCTTTCCTGTAGGAAGCCTAGCTGTGGGCAGTGATGAAAACTCCCACAGGGATCACAGGGTCTGTCCGGTTTCTAAAGAGAAAGCCCTTAGGACATTGACTGCTTTGATGGTACCCAAGTGTAGGCACGGGGGTTCTGCTCTGAGGCTGTGTTGGCCTTCATTCTGAAGTCTTTTTCCCTTAAAGGAAGAAAGGGGTTGTTCGGAAGAAAATGAATATCCGTACCAGAGTGGGACAGGAGAGTTACAAGGGGGAATCAGAAGGGATAGGTGCCAGAGATGGGGGCAGAGCAGAGCTCGGTTCCCCAACAGTCCTGTGGGCATTTTTGTTTGACATTAAAATTGACATCAAACATTAATGTTTGACATTAAAATAAGGCCACAGCTCTCCCACCTGTTTTATCCCAATTCTACGGGGCAGTTATCTTTGCCTATCATTTGTCCAATTGACTGTGATTTATTTACTTTAAACACAAAGTTTAAAGGTAATCTGGAGGTACTTGTGTCTATCTAAAGAAACAGCGATGTTAACATTTCTGTGCGTGTGCGGCTTGCCTTTAAAGAAGGTGCCCCCAACTTGGAGGTCAGGTTGTTTGAGCATTTACTGCCAGAGAAAGCTTATTTGATATAAGCTTATCTGAAGAGGATAAATATTAAGCACTTACAGTAACACTTGCTATAGTCACAAAATCATAGGACAAGAAGAGGCCTTAAAGATTACCCCACCTCTCATCCCCCTTTTCTTAAAACAAGTAACCTGAAGTCAGAGCACGAAATGACTTGCCCAGGGAGGTGCCTGGTCAGTGGCACAGCCTCAGTGAGAACCCAGATTTCCTAATCCAGACCTCTCCTCAGTGTGCTAGCCTGATGTATCATTGAATAAGAAAGCTTGCTCTATTGCTTTTGGTTTTGCCAATAATATTGACAACATAGCATTCTGCAAGTCGCCTCCTTGAATAAATGTTCAGATTCAAGAGATGGGAGAGGTAACTGGAGTAGAGAAAGATGTGTCTGTCACAGCATGGTGCTAGGAGGCTGTCAAGAGCTCAGAGGTAACAATATAGTCTGTTCTCCTGGATTATCGGATGTTTTATCATGCTAACCAAATACTGATTTTTTATTTTAAGATATTTAAGATAAGAATTAAGTATGCATAGTGTGGTCATAGAAAAGGCTAGATTTCTGTCACCTCAGTTGTCTCTGTTGTGATGTCTTCCAACTTAGGTCTTGCAAAATTCTTTTCTCCTCACAGACATGCGAGGGTTCATGACCGCCCATGGACAGCCTGACCAGCCCCGATCCGCACGCTACATCCTGAAGGACTACGTCAGTGTAAGCGAACCCTGCTTCTCATTGGCTCTTGACTAAGCGGGTCTTCTTTCTCGCCTCTTCGAGTGTGTGTTTAGGTACCAGCAGCCTGCTGGGTTGTAAAGGAGGTATTTTCTTGGTGATGCTGTGTTATAACTGGGGGTATATTCTTGATCCAGGGGAGCCAGCAGCATATAAATCATGGAAGTGACTGCCATACTATGAAAGAGGTCTCTGAACACCGGTGGTCAGTGAGCGTGACACAGTTCTGTCCCCGGCTTTTCCGTCTCCTGCAGCCCTTGCTTGTCTCTGTTGCCGCTGTGTCTCAGTCCTCCTTGTGGTGCAGCTGTTTACACGCCCGTTCCCAGCGCTTGTCCAGTAACAGGAATAGTAATAGCTGTGCTCAGAGCTAGGCCTGCCAGGAATAGTTCTAAACACTTTACATTTGTCATCTCATTAAAAATACTAAGTCTGTACGGTATTATTGTCCTATTATAAATGAGGACGTGCTAAACTTTGGGTTTTCCTCATCAGTAAAACAACTGATGGTACCTATCTCATGAGATCATTATGGGAAATAGATGAGAGCAATGTGTGTGTGGAGACATACACACATACCACTAAGCTCAAAGCCTGGTGCACAATTAGCCAATAATTTTTATGTATTATTAAAATGCATAATAATACTTCTTGCCACAAATAAGCATTACAGGGCCCTGGTAATAGCTGGTTGTGAAGATTTCACTTTATTCCCTCTTCTCAGTATGTCAATCAGCGGCGCTCTGGGAGCATAAAAGTAAAAGAGCAGCCGTATCCTCTCTTTTTGAATTCAGGAAGGAAATAGTTAATAGAATATTCATATGGATAAAGTACTTACTCATTTACCATTTGTAAAGCTGTGGCAGATGGGGGAGATGAGTTACAAACCACCACAACGCTGAGAGTGTTTACGTTGGAATGAGGCAGACTTGCACCCAGTGAGCAGCTGCCCCAGGCCCAGTGTCCCCATTAGTACAGTCACACTGTCCAGCTGTGTCCTGGCTTTTGTTTTGGAAAATACTCATCTTAAGTATAATCATACATGTGTACTGAATAGACGTTAAACAAGGTACAACAGAGAAGTACCAGTTTCTTTCTAGTGTGGGGACTGTGGGAAGAGCCAGGCTCTAGAACACTAAGGGTCAGCCTCAGGGTGTTAGTTAGGACTCTCAGTTGCAGTTGACCAAAACCCAACCCGGCTAGCTTAATCGAAAGGCAGAAAGTTCCGTCAGTGTGTGCCCAGCGGAGAGGCCTCCCTGGAGCGCTTTGACACAAGTGGCACTGAGGGTGCACTGTGATCACTTGGGTTGTCTTTGCAGGGGAAGCTCCTGTACTGTCACCCTCCCCCTGGAAGAGATCCCGTGACCTTTCAGCATCAGCACCAGCGACTCCTAGAGAACAAAGCAAATGGTGGTGAAATTAAAACGCAGCCGAGCGGAAATAAAAGAGCAAATCAGATTGAAAATGTAGTGGACAAAACTTTTTTCCATCGAGTAAGTTTTAAAGTTTTTCTTTAACTTCTGATCCAACACATTTTGTATAACAGCTTTATCCAAATATTCACATACCATAAAATCCACCCTTTTAAAAAGTACACAATTCAGTTTATGGTATATTCTCAGAGTTGTGTGACCATCACCACTATCTAACTTTAGAAAAGAAACCCTGTACCAGTTAGCATTCACACCCCATTCCCCCAGCCCCTGCCGACTACTGATCTACTTTCTCTGTATATGGATTTGTCTCTTCTGGATGTTTCATATAAATGGAGTCATACAATATGTGGTCCTTGGTGACTGGCTTCTTTAACAGCCTAAGGGCTTCAAGGTTCATCCATGTATCAGTACTTTCTTTCTTTTTATTGCCAAATAACATTACATTGAGCGGCTATACCACGTTTATCCTTTTATCAGTTGATGAACATCTGGATTGTTTTTACTTTTTGTCTATTATGAATAATGCTGTTTTTGTATAGACATGTATTTCATTTCTCTTGGGTATATACTTAGGAGTGGGGTTGCTGGGTCCTGTGGTCTATGTTTAACAGTTGAGGTCCTGCCAAACTTTCCAAAGTGGCTATATCATTTACATTCCCCCCCAGCAATGGACGAAGGTCCTAATTTCTCCTCATCCTTGCCACACTACAGAAAGGAAGTAATATTTAAGCTGGACTTTGAGGAACAAATAAAAATGTGCCAGTTGGAGGAAGTGGTGAGGGCCAGATTTCCAGGCAGAAGGAGTAACATGATCAAAGACAAAAAGATATGGGAGTGTAGGTTTTATCAGTAAAGAGCCCGTGTCGTAGGTGGCCTTGTGTGCCACGTGAGGGAATATGACCTTGATTCCCCAGGCTACAGGGGACCATCGAGATCTGTGAGGGCAGGACTGGAAGGATACATGACCAGAGAGCTCTGAGATGTTCTGATATGAATGTGGATGCTGGATCCGAGGAGTCTTGCAGTGGTACAGTGACAGCTGATGAACACCTAGGGTGGAGCAGTGCAGGTGGAGAGGAGGGGAAAGATGTACAAATTTCTAGGGGCTGGAATCCACAGACCTTACTGTGTGTGGCAGATAAGGAAGACAGAGTGTGTGCCATCTTGGAGGCTGGCCAGATTTTGATTCCACTGCCAAGGAACAGAGAGTCAATTTCTAACTGGGTTGTGGCAGGTTGAATTTTGATAACAAGTTAGAGGTTTCCCAAGAAGAGCTGATATTACGAATCTAGTCATAGATGGTGTTTGAAGCTCTGGGACTAACAAAGTTGAGGACAGAGAGACTAAACTGAAGACAAAACTCTGAGAAACTTACCATTTAAGGAATGGGGAGAGAAAGAGGACTGGTGAGAGATGGAAGTCCGCTGTCTCGGAGTTCTCCGTAGACAGCACTGTGCGTATCCTCTAAAGGAGACTGCTGACACTGCAAACAATTTCTCTTATTTCCTAGGAAAATGTGAGAGCTTTGACCAAAGGAGTCCAGGCTGTGATGGGCTACAAGCCTGGGAGTGGCCTGGTGACGGCAGCTACCATGAGCTCCGAGAGAGGGCCTGGGAAGCCCTGGAAAAAACATGGCAACAGAAATAAAAAAGAGAAAAGTCGTAGACTCTACAAGCACCTGGATACGTGAACTTGGGCTGCAACAGAAATGGTATCTGCATTGTGCATCTGTGGTGCTGTAGGGGGGGCCTGCCCTGGGGATGCGCACCCACACCCAACAGCCAGTGTCGAGACCAAGGGCTCCTCGGAGGACCGGCTCTGACAGTCAGTCATCTCGGAGCCGCAGAAACCTGCTCCTCCAGAAGGCTGGACTTAAGATGAGGGAATGAATGGTGTATATTTACTTATGAAAACTTGTATACAAATGCATAGTCATTTGTAAATTGGGAGTTTTTTGAAAAGACATTAAAATTAAATTGTCACTTAGTGGATTTTTTTTATTGGTTCTTGTAGATACATTGCTGTTTGGACATTTCACATTCTTTAAATGATTTTAATTTGCCAAAACGTGGCTGCGACTTCAGGTGGGTTTTTTGAGTGCGTTATTAGATTTGTGATTCTCAGCCTCACACACCTCACACACACCTAGCACACACCCTGGGTATGGCAGAAGGCATATCGGACCTTGGAATAAGGGCTGGCATGGGTAATTTTTTTTTTTTGTATATTTTTTTTTTTACATTTTTATTGATTCATAATCATTTTACAGTGTTGTGTCAAATTCCAGTGTTCAGTACAATTTTTCAGTCATACATGGACATATACACACTCATTGTCACATTTTTTTCTCTGTGATTTATCATAACATTTTGTGTATATTTCCCTGTGCTATACAGTGTAATCTTGTTG